CAAAGCCCTTTGAAGCTAATAAAAGGCCAAAGTGACCTTCTGACTGGCAGCCGCTTTTGGGAATTTCAGACACCGTTCTTTCCTAGCCCTGCTTGGAAACACTTGATCTTCCCTTGTTGTCTCCATCGAAGTACTAAGTCCAAGTTTCTTCAAGGTTATATGCTATCAAAATCAAGTCTACTGTTCCAATAGACTTTAATTATAGATGCTAAATGAACAGTAATTTTGAATAATTTGGAAAATGTACTTACATTTTTAATCCATACCATTTCCTGATTAAAATAATCTCAAAATTCGGGCTTTTGATGGCAAGGTGATGTCTCTGCTTTTTACGATGCTGTCAAGGTTTGTCATTGCTTTCCTCCCAAGAAGCAGGCGTCTTTTAATTTCGGGGCTGCTGTCTCCATCTGCAGTGATCATGGAGCCCAGGAAAATAAAATCTGTCACTGCCTCCACATCTTCCCCTTCTATTTCCCAGGAGGTAATGGGCCCTGCTTAGAAACACTTAATCTTCCCTGGTTGTCTCCATCCAAGTACTAAGTCCAAGTTTCTTCAAGGTTATATGCTATCAAAATCAAGTCTACTGTTCCAATAGACTTTAATTATAGATGCTAAATGAACAGTAATTTTGAATAATTTGGAAAATGTACTTACATTTTTAATCCATACCATTTCCTGATTAAAATAATCTCAAACCCAATATTTGCTTTATACTCATGGAGGAAAATTTACAATTACAAGAACAGTATAACACTTGTAACTTTATCCCAAAGATTAAATGAGGGAGTCTCTGAAAACTGAACCACAATCCAAGTCTGAAGAAGAGTCTTCACTGCTGTGTTCTTAATTTTTTAGGAAAAAGAGAATATTCTATTTTAGATGTCTTGATTGCCCTTAGAAGCATTAACTAAATGTGCAATGAGAAATCTCTTTTTTCCCCCTACTCTTTATTTATCCTGATTGGAATTTCAGAAAGATGGTCGAAGGGTGTCAAGACATGAATGCATGAACGTGCTTGAAAGTCCTTAAAAGTTATGGTCAGTGTGTTAAAGTGTGACAAAGAATTTCCATCAGCATTCTTAAAAATCCATCACAATATTCTGCAGCAATGCATCATTCAAGATAGAAAAACAGCAATGAAATCAGGAAGTATACTGTGGACTCTTGCAATAGGATAGTTTGTTTTATCAATATGAGCCACTACAGCAATTTCAACAGCAGAAATCAACAGGGACAGGTTTTAAAAACTGGAATCAACCTAATTTAGTTCAGTATTCCTGCCCTGTGTAGTTGCATCTAATGGGTCACACAAGCTTTTCTTGGTGGGATTACAATCCCTCTAAAGACTAGGTTCTCCACTTGGGAGCACCTTGGACCCAAGATTGCTCCTTGAAGGCTAACTGGCTGCTAAACTCAGAAGTGCCTTTGTTCAGCTTCTTCTAGCACACCAGCTGCCCCCCATACAAGTGAATGCAAGTTTCCCCTGGCATCCATGCCTTAATTACGTTTTAATAACACAACAGTAAGAAGTAGTTTCTGGTTTCAATTTTAAAAAATCCTATGTACAAAATCCTAATTCTGACTAAGACATGTAACCAAATGGCACTTTTTAAAAACCTACAAAATCAATATAGAAAAATATAGAATGTTCTACCTAAAATTCTATTTTTATTTCAGACAATTCCCATAATATTAAAACAGTCTCTTTTTTTCCCAGGAACTTAACAAGATAATTATAAGATTTATCTGGCAAGGTAAAAAAAACCCAAGAATTAAAATTAAAGCAATGCAAGATGCCAAGCAAAGGGCGGGTTTTGGCTTTTCTATGGTACAAAAAAGATAAAGAGCAGAAACAGTTCAACCTGCATATGATAAGAAGAGCCCTACTGGGGACTTGGAAAAAGATCATCCAACAGATTTACCAAAAAACACCAGTCTGGGTATCGCCTTTACACAATCTAATCTTATGACGAAAGCAAAACTTCTAAGATACCAAGATTTATTTTAAAAGGTTTGTGAGTTAAGGTCTAAAGAAGAGTTAGAGACACAAAACATCTATATATACAGACTGGTGGTCAAGAGCACAAGTGGAATCTAGGTATTAAAAAAAGATAAAATAGAAGGTTTTTACCCAGAACAAACAATATTTGACAAACTTCTGCTGGGTTCAAAAGATAAAGTAATTAAGAAAATGTATGATTATTTGTTAGAAATAAAAATGCAAGATGAGATAGTCAAAGAATGTATGATTAGGTGGGCACAAAATATAGGAGATAATATTTATATTGATCAATGGTTGCAAATATGGCAAAATAATACTGTATAAAGCTCACAAAATCAGTTAATTTCAAGTAGAATATATATAAGAGGTTTTATAGGTGGAATATGACTCCGCAAAAACTATCAAAGATTTATACAGATTTATCAAATGTTTGTTGGAAGTGTGAAGCACATGAGGGAAGTTTTTATCATATGTGGTGGACTTGTAGAGTAGCGAAGCAATTTTGGATAGGTGTACATACTTTGTTACAAAAATATTGCTTTGTAAGGTTCCACTAACCCCAGAACTGTTTCTATTGAGTATTATACCAGACAACATAGATAAGACAAAGAAATACTTAGTTATATACATAGTCACTTCAGCCAGAATTCTTTATGCCAAGAATTGGAAGAAATCTGTGATATCGGAACAAGAGGAACTTATTGAGAAGATACAGAAATGGATATCTTATCAGAAGTGCTGAAGGACTGTCCAATACAAAAGGCAACTGAACAATGGGATTTATTATATAAATACCTCAAATCACCAGATAGTACTTGAATAATATAGATTAAAACTAGGATGTAAATGTAAATTATAACCTGGAGGGCAATCATATGGTAGAGAAGCGGAAAGTCAAGTTGATATGGCAATAAGACTAAATTGGATGGCAGTACATTTTGTGTTCTCCTCCCTCTACTTTTTCCCCTCATATCCCCCCTTTACCTTCTGTATCCCTTACCTTATCCTAATAAAAAAATAATACACTAGCCTGGCCAGGGGAAACACATCTGTTCTAAATCATACATCTTCCAACACAGATGTGAGAAATATAGAAATCTTTGTTTCTATTTTAGACTAAATTGGCTTTAAGTTTGAACCTAGACAAACTATTTTCCTCTTAACTATGACCAGTTCAAAAAACATGGACTTAAGATAGTCTCATTCATCTCAACATTATTTTTCTGTTCATACTTAGTTGTGTAACTATGGCAGAGCAAGGATACAATCCTTGCCTTGTGCTGCTCTTAACAAAAGCTGCAGCAAAAATATGTCATATGCACACAGGAGTTCCTACTTGCTGCATTCTGTACTAACTACAGCTTCTGCACCAATTTCAAGAGTAGCTTCACATAAAGTCAATTACAGTTGTTTAGCTTTGAAGTTATCACTGCTTGGGTAACTGTGGACAGGCTATGCATGTTGAAGAATAGGTATAGCTGCTGAAACTAGTAACAGGCACTCATTGCTGGTGAGAACACTTGAGCCTCCAGTGACATGTCCACAGACTATATTTGCCTGTCAAACTAGCACCACTCTATCTACGAGAAGTACATTATTTGACTCCTGAAAACAGGAGCTACCCGCAAAAAGACTGAGTTTCAGTTAGTTGCCCTTCAGTTGAGCCCATTGTTGTATCCAGATAATGATACAAGAATTGGATGTATCTGAGAAATAGAATTGGATGTAATCCACATGCTGGTGAGACACCTCAACGTCGACCACTTTAGACAGACATTACATGGAACTGAAGAAGGACCATGTGACCTGTAACACCTTACAGCAGAGTTACTAAGGGGCCGTTAAAAAAATCCCCAATGCTAATGTCCAGAACCAACCTTGGAGGTAGGAGCAGAATCACTGAAGTGCAACGTCTCCTACTTTGACTTACATAAACAAAAGAAGCTGAAGAATGATGGATTTTGTTATAGTTATAGTTCTGATACACCTACTACTTCCAGCAACAATAAGGAGACCAACTGGAGACTCTGGAACTATCATAATTTGGTTAAAATAAATGTGGAAAAGATAAAAGACAAGGAAGAGAAGACAAAGAGGGCCTTTTATGTCGCTGCCCCCAGACTTTGGTTAAAATAAATGTGGAAAAGATAAAGGACAAGGAAGAGGAAGAGAAGACAAAGAAGGCCTTTTATGTTGCTGCCCCCAGATTCTGGAACTCCTTTCCACAGGAGGCCAAGCAAGCAGGAGAAGACCCTTCTCTTCAGGCAGACCTTCCTTAATGACTGACTGTCTTTGATAGTTTATTTATTTATTTATTGTATTTTTTACCCCGCCTGTCTGGTCAGATGACCACTCATGGCAGCTTCCAGCATGCATAACATTTATATTTTGTTGCTTCTCAATCTGTTTTTTCTAATGCTTTTACCTAACATTTAAAATATAATATTAATTCTTCTTAAATGTACTTGAATAGTTTGCCGCTTTTACCTTTTAATATTGTGTGTTCTAATGATATAAGCAACCTTGGATCCTTTCTTTTAGGAGAAAGGCCGGTTAAATAAATGAATGAATGAACAAAATAAAACATACTGTAATCTCAAGTGTAGAGAGGAACATTTCCTGTACTAAATGGGTTTCAGCTCTCATTCACACACTTTCTGGATGAAGCAACAACTAGTCGTCGAGTGTCAGGATCTGTTTCAGGACTTATTTAAAAAGAAATTCCACGAAAATGAACAGAGAAAGGTTTTCCCTTTTTTTACGCTAGGGATACCGACGTTGGAATTAGTTTTTCCTTTCCGTTCCGTTCTTCTTTTTCTTTTTTAAAGGAAAGAAACCGATTCATAAGAAACGTGCCGTGCAAAATTTCCACACCAAAAGTTAGGAAGATGGTGATCTGACTCATCTGCGGTGGTGTCATTGGAAGGCAGAAAGAGGTGGAGCGAGAGAAGAATATCACACTTCTTGAGATGCGCCAAAACCCGAGAACACCAAAGCTTGGAGTTTCAAAGGAAGAGCAAGAAAGAAAGAAAGAGTGAGAGAGTAAGTGTGTGTGTGTGTGAGAGAGAGAGAGAGAGAGAGAGAGAACGGGAAACCCTAAGTCTCTCGCTTATAAAGTCTTGAGCGGCCCTCGGAGAGCAAGCATAAGCCGTATTGGTACAGAAGAAGGTTGATCAAAGTTGGTGCCTGCCTGTCTTTGAAGAGCCGTCGGGATGCCGAAGCGCAGCGCCTGCACCTCCTCCGCCGTCCTCTCCATGGGTGAGTGATTGTACCTGACGCCTCTCCCCTTACACACGCACACGCCGGGCCAATGAAGCCCGAGATGCGAATAATGAAGCTGGAAAGGAAACTGCAGTCAGGTGTCTGGTCTGGCTCCGGACGAGGCGAGACGGGTGTTCTGGAGCCCCGTTTGTCCAATGGTTACAAGGAAAGCATTTGTTTTTATATAGCATCCCCCCGCCCCGTAAAACGGACCGAAAAAGCGACAGGGATCTGAAATGTGCTGCTTTTCGCCCGACAGAAAGTTTGATGCCAGGTTGTTAGCAGAGGATGGAAAAGTTTTCTGTGCGCGCGCTTTTTCTTTTTTTTTTTTTTACTGCACCGCCCAGAACTTTACAGCCGGCACAGTCCAGGTGCTAAGATGGCTAGGAATTCTGGGAGCTGCAGTCTCTAAATGTAACAGAGCTGGGGGATTTGGTGTAACACTTCACTTCTCAAGGAACCCTTTCTCCTCATCCCGCCGGTGTAAGAGACGCAGTGGTGAGAGAAATACAGAGATGGACGAGCAGCAGCCCCCTCCTTCAGGATAAACTGGAAATAAGTGCTGGGAGCCTTTGGCATAAAATTAAACCATAAGTATTGATCTTGCTTTCACTGATCCCCTATCCTGAAATTTTGAGCTACAGTGTATGAATGAAAGCCTAGAGTCAATGAACTTGTTAGATTTCAAGATACTACAAGTATTGTTATGGCCAGCCTGCCTTTGGAGAGTTGTTGAGATGCCCAGTGGCGCCTGCACCTCCAGCACCATCCCTGCCCTCGGTAAGCCCACACACTCAAATTGCTGTACTGCAGCCAAAACTGTGCTCACAACCTGGGGTTCAATCCCAGGTAGCGGCTCAAGGTTGAGCCTTCTATCCTTCCGGTAAAATGAGTACCCAGTACTCGCTGGGGGGGGGGGCAATGTGTAGCCTGCATAATTAACTTGTAAACTGCCCAGAGAGTGCTTGAAGCACTATGGGGTGGTATATAAGCAGCACGCTTTGCTTTGCTTTGCTTTGAATGTACCACAAGACACCCTTTTGCCCACCTGATTTTAAGAATTTTTTCAGATCACTGGCTTTGTTGTTTTTTTTTTTAATTTTTGCCAACTTCTTACAAAGACGTCTGGCATGACTAAATGGGTGTGCATTTTCCTTCCAACACTTTGAACAGCCATCTTACCTGGGAGAAGGTAAGACAAAAGATAAAAGTAGATAAGAGGAAATATATCTAATAATGATTCTTACTCTCTGAGGCAAGAGTTTTTGTGCTAATGCAATGACTTAATCCAAGTTTTCATAAAAGCTGTGCCCTTTGTGGTACAAGGCTAACATTCTGCTCAGACTTTTAAAGGATAAAGAGATTATCTTGTCCAAGATGAAGGTGAATATCAGACGGCAACTAGTAACAGCGTGTATAAGAAAGGCAGGCCAGGGGACAGAGACCATGCTTGAATCTTTAAAAATTAATAAATTAATTAAAAACTAAGGGATCTATGGAAAGCAATTACCACGTTCCACCACCTGTGAGAACAAGACTTTGCTAAAAGATCCATCTCTGCTTCAGTGCCCTTGGGCTCATGAGTAATATACAAATGTTTTCAGTACCCAAAAATAAAGGAAACAGAGTTTCACAACAAAGGTATAGACAAAGCTTTTACTATCTTCTGTGACATATTATGCCTCAGGGAGTTATTCCACCCTTTAATTAACCCAGTTAATTATTTCAAGGTATAATATCATGTGAAAATGATATCTGAAAATTGTCATCACTATCTATTGAGCTCACATGTTGTGTGTGATTTGTACTTTATCATTAAAAAAAATTCTTCCTTCTTATATGTGGTCACTGATTTTGTTTCAGGTTGCTGGCTTCTGGTAACCTTCTGCCTAAACCTACCCAGTTCGTTGTTGGCTCACAGTATCTATACCAGAGGACTAGTAGCTAACGTAAGCAATTGGTGGGAAAGTTCTGAAGACTTGATGGAAGCAGCAGGTGTGGCACTGCAGCAGTTCAACAAGGTATGGCATTCTTCTTTGACAAACTATGACACTGTCTGTATTGGTCAGGACTTAGAGACGTTCCCCACCCTTACCTGCATCTCAGATTAGAACTCTCAGACTCTGCCAGTCAGCACGGCCTCTTTGCCTGTTCCAAGACCCAGCTTTTTACAGTTTTTTTCAGGTCGTGGCATCACACTGCACAGGATCCAACTGGCTTTTGAATTTCATAGTACAAAAGGGTAACATTTCTAGTCTCTGCCATTATGACATCAAGAGCATTGTAAAGTGAGAAGCCAATGCCAGTGCCCAGCTAAGTGAAAATGTATCTAGTTTTATGTTATCTTCAACTTTCCCAACAACTGAGTTTCTAAAAAGTCTCTCCAAATAGCCTCCCAGTCTTTTCACTACAGGAAATGTAGATCACACACACACACACACACACACACACACACCCCTATGATGAAAGGGACTAATTTTTTTAACTGCATGAATAATCTAGTCTAGGTCATTTGGGAACAGTTTGGAATTATGAAGCTTAATTAGCTCGCTCCTTCCGTTCACAAGGAACTTTGTTCTGCAGTCCTTCTAGTTGCAATCTAGTCAACCACGTGTTGGTGCTAGATCACTCCATTTTGATCTGTTTGTTCACAATGTGCCCCTCCCCTTCTCACTCTGCTTCTTATCCCTTTGCAGTAACCATCAGTCAGTTGGGAAACAGCCTGCCTGGAATTAATGATGGGTTTTTGTCCACACAAAGAGGTGGCTTATAGAGTGCCTTGTTTCAGCTCCATATTTCTCCTTTTCAAAAATTAAATATCGATGTGACATAATACTTAAGTGATTCAGTGCAAGAGTGGAAGAATATTTTTTTAAAATTTTTTTTAAAAAAATACTTTTTTCATTTCAAAATAGGACAGCAGGTGCCATCTACAAACATGGCCAGACCATATCCATCCCTACACATCACCACTGGTGCGTAGGAAGAACACATACCCAGCCCCACTCTGCAGGAAAACAGTGTTTATTTGGACCAATTCTAATCATTCCAAATGAACAATAGGCTCCAACCCTAGAGGGAAAGTTGGAATGATCTAACAAGAATGTTGTGTATTTGATTTTTTTAAGAGCAATTCCAACTGTCTCAGGAAGGAGCTACAAAGCTGGATAAACCCTTGTGCAGTCAGCCTCTCTTTCTCTCTCCTGACAAGCTCTGCTATTCCTTCAAGAGTCATGGATGGTCTGAAAAAAAAAAAACTTTCTTTGTTTTAATCTGGAAGAATTGAGACAATAGCCAAAAATGGATGAGCATTTGATATAGATGCTTTTGAATCTTTCACTGTTGAGCCGCTACCTCTCTCCTTAGGTCACTGGGTACAGGACCTGCTAGGTAACTGCTTTTATCAGTAGTGGTTAGCTTCAGGCATCCAGTAATAATTCGTTGAGTGCTAATCTACCATTTTGCATGAGCTGAACGATACCACACTGGACTGGCATATTTGCCTGGAGAGTACCATAGACCCGAGGCTGTGGTTCTGATTTTTTCTTTTGTGCCCCAGCTAGTGCCTGAAAAGACTCTGGCAGCCTCGTTGGAAGTCCTTGTATTGATTGATGCATTGATAAGAGTATCTAGCCTGTTGTAGTGAAAACACTGACAGTGAATCCTTGTTTAGCCATGGAAAACACGTGATGGGGAGCACTAGTAAAACCACTCCTTAATTATCTCACTTACCTCGAAAACTCTTTTTGGTCAGGCGTGACTTGATAGGATATACATTCAATTACTTATTATTTCTAAACTTGTTACACCGTTTATATTGTGCTACCTTGTACATGTCTTTCAATACGGAAGGAGGAGAGACGTTACTGTATCAAGCAGCAGGGCAATATTACACGTTTAGTAAGGATTAGTAGAAAGGAATTATTAAGAGCTTGTTCCCCATCTTGTCTTCAGTCATGCGACTCCCGGGCCCCAAAGGACGGAGGACTGAACTCCGGTAGTTCAGAGGGGGATGGCTAGGAAAGAGAGAGCGCAACTCCCTCACTCGCTTCAGGGAACCCCCTCGCCTTCCCCTTCCTTCTCGCAACCGCCCCTGTGGACCTGTGGGCGGGAGAGGCTGGAGGCCGGTGACCTAACTTTTCCCGCCCACCAACCTCCCGAAAGGCTGCCTGCGGAGCTCGCCCTGGGCGCCTGGCTTTCGTTTTTCGCTTGCTGAAGTTTGAACCGAGAGGGAAGCAGAGGGGACGTGAATAACAAGCGCCCCGACTCTGCAGCAAACGAATCCCCCCCCTTTTTCCCCCCGCGTTCCGGTCATCCCAGAGACCGGACATGGGGGGGGCGGCACTAGTACTACCCGCAGTCCCCGGTAGGAGTCGCTGCTGCCGCACGCGTTAAACGGGGTACTGGACTTAAGAGGGTTGGTGTCTCCGAGCCTCGTCCCTTGTTTCGTCCCTCGGTCCTGACCGAGAGGAGGGGGCAGCGCCTCTAATTCCCACAGATATCCATACCTGTTCCTTCTGGGAAACACTGGAAATAGCTCTTTTTTCAAGTCCAATTTTCTTGCCCGATCTGGGCGAACGGGGCTGGAATTGTGGGCAAATAGCGAGGCTCTCTCCACTCGCCGCCGCCCCGCCCCCCCCGGCCCGGCAGTTTTGACGCGTCCCCGCTCGCATTGTGAGTGGGGAAAGCGTGGCGAGGGGGCAGGAAG